AATTAGATGATGTTTATATTGTAACTGAGGAATTATAATCTGACGAGACTGTCCTTCGATAAATCTTGGCCTTCAGAATACTCCTTTTACTTTTCTGTTTGTGGGGATTTTTGCCTGTCTCGACTCTTGCACACTGCCTTGTGTTCTGCATTGAGGGAGCTTTTCCTGGAGGCTGGAGGGGTTAATGCAGAAATAGATGACAGATTAGTCTGGGACAGGCTGTGATTTGGACTCGGAGAACTATCTCAAATAACTGGCCAGGCACCAAGAATATAGACAATTTGGAAAGCCTATCAGCAGAGCAGTGGGGTCCTCTGGAGCAGCTCTGGATGAGGATTATGTCAATTTAACTGCAGTACCATGACATACCCACAGTGCCTTTAGTTTGTATAAGGAAAATTTATTAGCAAACACATTTTGTCTCTGGGATACGAATACATTGAATGAGAAACTCCTCTTTTCTTTCCCTCCAACATATGTGTAAAAAATAGAGGAAAATATTTTGATTAAAACATTTCCCCTCCCTTTTTTTTTCTTCTTTTTTTTTTCTTGTTGCTGTTCTCCAGCCAGCTGTTGAGCTGATGAAAAGCCTGGAAGGGCTGCTAGAATGGAGATTTTCTGAAAATCCAGGCACATTTCTATGGGAGTTGAATGATTCAAAATTGAGTTCCACATAATTGGAAATCTCTTGCAATACAAATGAGAAGTCTGTCGAGCAGTGGTGCAGTTGAAGAGGTTATTTCTGCTTTACCTCTCCTGGGCACAGCTGGTAGGAGGGATATTTCAAAAGGGAGAAATTAAGAATCAGGATACAATGATTGAGCTACCCACACACAGAATCTTAGGGGTTGGAAGGGACCTCGAAACATCATCTAGTCCAGCCCCACTGCCAGAGCACATCTGTACCTAGAGCACATCACACAGGAAGGTGTCCAGGTGGGTTTTGAATGTCTCCAGCGAAGGAGACTCCACAACCTCTCTGGGCAGCCTGTTCCAGTGCTCTGCCACTTGATCAGCAGATCAGCATTTTGGTTTTTTTAGGTATATAAAACTCTTATTGTGCTTTTTACCAGCTGCTTGGTGACCTAGATGAGACAAGTGACTGGCCTAAGTCCATTTCTCTTTGAACAAGGGAACCACACTGAAAATATTGCCATTACATTGGACTTCCTCACTGGCAGCCTCTGCTGGGAGGAGGAGGCCTGGAAGGGTTAGAACAGCCAACTTTCTTTCAAGTCCTTCTTTCTGGAAAATTTTCCACTATTGCTAATGTCTTCCAGAACACCACCAAGAGCATTAGCAAAGGCAAGATGCTGGGGCAGCTGTAATTGCTGGGGTTGTCAAAACCTGCTAATTTCATTGCCTGGAGACACCTGGAGCTGTGTCTGTCCTGGCATATTTGGTGTTGCTTCAGTGGAGCTCTACAAGTGGGAAAGTCTCCAGACTAAAGGCCAGAGTTGACATAGTTGTGGTCTCTCCAGATCATGGTTGAGACACATCACTAGGGTGGTATGAGGGGAAGTTTCCATTAACCATTGTTCCCAGCTTCCATCCACCACTGTTGAGTTCTACAGCTGGATTTCCAAAAGAGCTTAATGCTCAAGAGCTCTCATTTCAGCAACTTAAATAGAGGGGCCAAGTTCTTTCCAAAATACTTGGCAATCATCAGCCCCCACTGAGAACAAAGCTAAGCACATTAAACAGCCCAGCCACTTCACTGCTGGGAGAATTTGGGTGCTGTTGTGAGCACAGAGTGTTTAAATAATACAGAGACTGGCAACAAAGGCATCTGGCTCCTGATGCTGAGCAGCAAGGTGCTTTACCTTGGCGTGGCCTGGACAGCTGGTGGTGCAGGCTTCCTCCTTGGCTGATTCCTTCTGCATCACAGTCTCTGACCAGCTCTGTCTCTGGATGTTGTGACAGCTGTGAAGCTTGCTGATGTGAGGATGAGTTGGCTGCTGGGCACATGATGTTCAGATTGCTGTGCTTATTTGACCTGCCTCTGATTGCAAGGAATTTAGTGCATAAAAATAACACCCTAAACACATTTGGCAGAAGGATGCACAGCTGAAGTGCTGTGCACACATGGGGAGAGGAGCTTGGAGAGCCATGTAATGTGAGGCCACGTACTGTCCTCCTGCAGGAAGAGCAGTGGCAAGTCCAGTACAGCCCATGCTGTTATCTTGGGTCACGACTTCCAGCCCCACATGGATGTGATGGCCATTAGCCAGTAAACTAATGAAGACAGGTTCCTGGCTTGTACTACTGGCAAAACTTGATTGAATAAAAAGATACCAAGTGCCAGGAGTTGCCTAAGGTAAAGTGCTGGACAAGGAAACACTGGCTTTTCTGCCTGGCATTTTAGACTCCCTTCTTAACTTTGTTGCCCTCAGTGGAGTTCTGGTCATTTGAAGGATTGTGAGGGAACAGGGAGTCAGCCTGCATAGACTGGTAGAGGTGGGAGTGCAATGGGAGTGTAGAAATATCTTAGAGGGCAATAGTTCTTTGTGCTCTGGGTGGTAATGTTTGGTTGTGTGCATGGCTTGTTCAGGCTTTGCATTAGTGAACAGCATTCACCTTGGGTGAGCTTAGTGTTGGCACCAGGGACATCTGGTGTTTGGTGAAGGAGCAGATCTGCAGTGGTGAGAGCATCTTCAACCAGGGGAAATGAAATGAGGCAGGATCTGGGTTGGTACAGGAGATGTTGCCCGTTGCTGCTGCACTGGCAGGATGCAGTGTCTCCTTTCCCCTGTTTGAAAGGAGCATTTTTGCCCTTTCCTTTTTCAGAGAGATGCTATAACATTTCTTGAGGTAACTGATTACAAAGCTCATGGAATTGTGTAATATGCACGCTATAGATAAATGATAATGTCTAAACTGATACCGTGTATCTAGGATGTCAGCAATATTTAAATACAGGGTCTTTTGTTTAGGGCAGAGAGTGAGGGCAGATTTCACAACCCACCTGACTTTTAGAAACACCCTACATGCTCACCAGAAATACTATAGAAGTATCCAGAGCTGGAATTGTGCTTCATTTGTGTATGTATGACAGAATTTGCAAGGTTTGTATGTGCATGTGTCTGCACATTTGTCTGCATTAAAAAATGCACCTGGCCGCTCTGGTACAAGTGCACTCCCATCAGAGGCAGCTTGTAATCCTTGCAGTAAGCCTGTCCCTGCTGC